CGTGCGCCGCTGACCTCGCGGGTCGGCGGAGCGGTCAGGCACGTGACCTCCGGAGACGGTTCGGCCGACCGCTAGTCTTACCCACGCAGGTACCGGCCGTGCACCAGGGTCCTCCGTCTTGGTAACGAAGATCGATGTAGTGCGCGTTCTGGTTTGCAGGTGCTTCCATGGACGTGTGGAAACACGAGGGTTGTGGTAGAGTCTGTCCTGCTCGCGTTTTACGGGTGTGTTTTTTGAACCCTGAACGATGCATTGAGAAAATTAGTTTTAAACGGACGTTCAGTTAACTCGCTTGTGGTTACGTTCTTACAATTTTGGGCGCTCCAGATTATCGAAGATAGCTTTCTGACGAAGGCGCCCATGATGTCTGCTTTTGGTGGATGCGGAAACGGAGTGGCGCTGGAGAGCAGCTCTTGTTTTGAATGCCCCCCCCGCCCCCCAACTTTGACGGTCTAATCGTAAGGTTTCAGCTAAAAGGTTGGCTAAATAGCCTTTTAACAGCCAGTTCAATACGTGATTAAGCTGTTCAGATTTTAGTTTGTTGGCCATGAGGCTGCAAAACACGATCCGTATGACGGAAAAACAACTTATTTTCGGTGTTACCCCCAGAGGAAGGATTTATCGGTACATCGTTCTTCAACACACTCGATTAGTTACGTACGCATCAGCGACAAATTGTTTGACCCACGTTTCAACCCACCAATATTTTGTTCATTGTTTCGGCTATCTACATAATGGATTACCGCTGTTTTTGGCGATCTAAAATAAAAAGGGAAACGGAATAAAATATTTTTTCTTTGACCCTAGGTTAGTCTAAGGGGGAGGAAAAAATGCCTAACAACGCCTCTACCCCGGCGTTATTACCGCTGTTTTTGGCGATCTAAAATGAAAAGGGAAACGGAATAAAATATTTTTTCTTTGACCCCAGGTTAGTCTAAGGGGGAGGGAAAAATGCCTAACAACGCCTCTACCCCGGCGTTAGCCCATCAGAGCATGTTATTTTAGTCTTATTATAAAACGTTCACCTGGTCTATGAACTGTCATGCCACGACATCGTGAGTCCATGCAACGATGCTATCGGTGACAATGCAAAGAAAACATGTGTCTTACATAAAGTCACTTGTAATTTGCTGATCATTAGCAGACAGCTGTTGAGTGGACCCGTGGTCAGAGCTGGATGGACATTATGGCTTGAAGCTGCAAGCAAGTGGAAAAAGTGACGGATGACGATGCAATAGTTTACTAATCCTTTCGTGATACTGTTCAGACCAAAATAACCATAGCTCACTGGTAGCGAACCCCAGTATGAAAAGTTAGAACAACACCGGTCACTGCAGCAATAACGCGCGGTGCCCGCAGGGAGTTCCTTCTAGATGCAGTGTCATGGGCCGGGAATCCCATAAATGTGAGCAGTGCCTGCCGGAGATCCCTCGAGATGTGATATGTCATGGGCCGGGCATCCCATAACTGTGAGCGGTGCCTGCCGGAGATCCCTTGAGATGTGATATGTCATGGGCCGGGCATCCCACAACTGTGAGCAGTGCCTGCCGGAGATCCCTCGAGATGTGATATGTCATGGGCCGGGCATCCCATAACTGTGAGCAGGTGCCTGCCGGAGATCCCTTGAGATGTGATATGTCATGGGCCGGGCATCCCACAACTGTGAGCGGTGCCTGCCGGAGATCCCTCGAGATGTGATATGTCATGGGCCGGGAATCCCTTAACTGTGAGCGGTGCCTGCCGGAGATCCCTCGAGATGTGATATGTCATGGGCCGGGCATCCCATGGCCGGGAGCTCAAGTTTATCGTCATTATTAAGCAAATGCGGGCACTCAAAAATTTATGAAATTTCCGGCATCAGTATTTTCTCTCGTAATCTTGAAAGAGGTGGCTAGGGACAAAAGGATTAGGAGCAACAATATTACGGCAGGCTGAAAATACATGATTTTCTCCCTCATCCCAAACAGAAAGCTAAATATGCTCATCAAAACAATATCGTACGATGCATTCGGCAGTGGTACAAATGATGAAAATACATCCATTGGCATTGTTCATCAACACCTGCACTTCTTTCCTTATTCTCGTTTCATCCTGCGTCCTGACGACGCTCCGTTCATTTGGAGCAGACTGCTTGCGATTGTGCTTGTGTGCCCGCTGGTGGGGGCCCCGTCCGGGCGCCGAGCACGTACCCGTGCGGACTATGCCTCGATGGAAGACCGCTAGACATGCACAGAGTTCTGCCCCACCAATGTCCACTTTCCTTCATCCCATAACCTAATTGAGTCATTATACTCCAAACCGTATAGAAAGACATTACGCCGGGCCACGTGTCTCGATGATAATAGCTCAATAAAAGATCATCCTTTTCGCCAAATGTGAAAAAAGAGTGGCCAAAATCCGGGCAGAAAATAATGAGGAAGGCGTGCTCAACAAGTCATTCTTGGTTTCTCTTTTTTCAGTTCGTTCCAACTTTGGAATCGTTCCCGCGCTGCTAGGTCTCCCTCTCAGCTGCGTGAATTGGGATGCAGATTAGTATTAACACCGCATTTTGGGGTTATACAGTTTGGCGATGAAATCACTGGACCACTTCCGTCAAACACAACCGGAGCCATGTCCATAGACACGGCTCCGGCTGGGAACATGTCACGTGGACATGTTCATTGTAAGAAGTTCTCGATTCGGGTCGACGGGGTCAAACCGAAGGCGAGCCCTCGCCAGGCTGGCTGGTGACGTGTCGTGTGGGCGTCGGTGGGTCTGGATGCACTCCTAGCCGTTAAACATTCGCTGGTGGAGCCACGAGGTATAGTCCCTTCACTGTCAACATGCGTCATGTCCTGCCGTCTCGCGCCCTGTGGCCATGCACTTTGAAACCGGACTTGGCGCGAATACAGCCATACTTGATGCAAGTGAGCTGCGGGTTTGCTCAGTCTCGTGAGTTGGGAGATCGTATTCATTACATCAGGAGGTATTGGGTAAAATACGCTATCAAGAAAGGATGGACTTTAATGACAAAATTCGACGTCTGAGGTCGTGCTCCTGGTCACCAGTGGAGTTTTGTCAATATAGCCAACGTTTCTCCTGAGCGTCGTTTAGTCAGTACCTCCTGGTACATTGCATTTCGGTTATAGTCAAAATAAGAATTCCCAATACATGAAAATGGATAAAGCCCTCGTTGTACATCACGGCAAATGTCCCCGTCGCTTTTAACGTATTCTTGTTGCTCCCTAGCTGTTTCTATTGCCCCCATTGTTCACGATCTAGCATGACTGCTGCGGTCTCAACGGTTATGTGCTCTTCGCAGCAGATTTGTTCCTGTGTTTTGGAGTCAAGGTTGAGTCAAGCAAATCTCGCTGAGTAAACTCAAACAGAAATGTAACAGCATAGACCAACAGCGCGGCGCTGTGCCAACCTATGAGCAGGCCGCACGTAACGCAGCCGTCGATATACGCCTTGCTGGCAAGGTACGAGTCTTATGCAGGCTTTTATGAACCCCACAGAAAGGTCTCACCAGCTACTGCCATCGGGATGTGTTCCATCGAGATCGATTACAGAATTCACCCATTCACGGTTGAAGTCAGAATCGGAGTCGACTTCAGCTTGTGCTGTCTAAGACAGCATACGGTGGAGTCGGCATCGAAAGGAGTCGTAGCCGGAGACTGGGTTGACTCCAAGCGCCGTGAGTCAGAGTCGGAATTGATTCCACTGAAGCAGAACCGAGCACGATGTTAGCGCGTCACAGCTCCGAAGTTCTCGCAAGCCGTCGTCGACGATACGGGCGGAAGTCTCAGCCGCAACGGTGTCGCATCGCGCCGCGCCAGCGTCCGTCTGCAGCCAGGAGCCCCGGTCGCAGGACGTGACGACGCGGCACAGCCGTGACGTCACGGAGGTGATTCAGCGGCGCTCCGGTCCGCTCGGTCAGACGACAAGGTGACCTCCCCCCCCCCCCCGCCCCGACGTTGCATCGCATCTCGGAACTTCAGATCCCTGTCCAGCCTTCCCCTCCAGCCCGGTGGGAGCGCTGGCTGTCAACAGGAGGGTTGCACACTGCC